TTGAGTTCTACTTGGCATTGGCCAGGTACAGGATCCAGAGGCCAGGAGAGAGGCTGTCATGCCAGCACGCAGCTGTTGGGGGTAGAACCAGCAGATCGGAAAACAAAACCAAGCGAGCGTAAGACACATTTCTCTTACCTCAGCAATCACATTGGTGGAAGTATCACAACCAATACTTAGCTCTGTGCCTGGGACATTGTTGCTAATAGAGGCAGGCAGGATGCAGACCGGGGTGCAAACCTCCTTGTGGCTGCCTCAAGTGTCAGCAGGGCCACGGCAGTGAGGGGGTTACAGGCATACCACCTGCCCGTCACTGGGCCTGTGTGGGCTGTGGCTATGAAGGGTGGGGGGGCCGGACAGGGAGGGAACTGAGTCTCCTCCAGTGGGCAGCTGTCTCATGTGCCAGCCTAATGCATAATGGGAAGCCCTTGTCCCCCTCATCCTGGTCCCTCAGGAGGAAGCCACAAGCAGTGGGTACGAAGCAGGCTGTGAAGCAGGCGTCAGGCAGAAGGGACAGAGGCGGTATGAATGCATTAGTCATCAGGAGGAACAGGTGCTCATTTCTTGGCATCTCGGAGGGGGAGGGTAGGCATAGCCAATTCGGTTGGGAAGTTTAAGTGCCCTGCCACACCTGTACGTTCTGCAGGAGGGGTGGGGAGAGCACACGGCCGTAAAGACGGCATCCCATGACTGGCATCACCAGTACTGGGCAGGGCTGCCTGCGGGCAGGACCACACGGCTGCCCAGGACAGGTATGGAAGGAGGCATGCAAATACGTTACCCGCAGGCCCACTCGTCCCGAGGACTCGTGACTTCCATGTCTCTCAGGTCCCCAGAAAGAGAACCTGCTGCCCTCTCCGGGCACTTGGCAATGCTCATGCGAAAGATCGCCAAGAACCAGGCCGATTGCTTTGGGGCTCCAATGAACATGACTTGGGCTCCGCCGTCCAAAAGAGGCGAGAGGTTTTGAACCACCTCGGGTGTTAGCCGGGTTAGTGATAGGCTACACAGGTCCACTCATCCACCATTCCTGAATCCACGCAGGTAACCACAGAGCGTGGTGGCCCAATGACCTATGCATCAGCTTCTCTCAATGGAAACATTAGCGCCGCCCGGTGGACAGGAGTCGCACGGGCGGGGACAGTAGATCGTGGACTTGTGGGAGTTAGTCCATGGGTGCTGGGGTGGGGTTAGTCAGGTCAGAAAAGGCAGTCAGCACTGGGTGATGGTAAGGTGCACTGTCATGGGGTATCCCCCCCACACGCACCGCAGCCAGCTCCCTGACTCCACATGAGCTTGGCACCCGGCCCCTTGGCTGGGGTCATCCGGTTCTGCCTTGTGAACTCAGATTGTGGCTTTTCTTGAAGATCTTTCTTCCAAAGGCCAAATCCCAGGCTGGGAATGAATCTACACCGTTCTCTGGGCGTCTCAGCACTGGCTACTCTCAAGGGAAAGGCTGAGCTCAGCACTGTGACAGATACCTCTCTGGAAATCGGCTGTCTTTGGCGGAGCTCCTGCTGGGAGTTTGGGGGCACAGGAGATGAGCCGTGGGGACCAGAGGGTGCTGCCTTTGCCGGTTGGAGCATGGAGGGGGCACGTGGAGGAGGGCAGGTGGAAGTCGGGAGGGATGGTTAGTGCCCTAACTCTACTCTGACATCTCTGGTGAAAGTTGCTTTGCTGCAAGAACTGTCTACCTTCTGGATGTTTCTCTTTCGTTTCCTTCCATTTCTAAGCAAATAGGAAGGAAAGTCTGGGTGATGAGCACTGCCCAGGAAAGGGGGAAGACAATGATGAAGACTCCACACATCCTGCCTCAAGTCCTGCAGGGGGACAATCACTTGACCTGCTCTTGGCTCCTGTGGTGGACATCGAATGCACGCACCACTAAGTTACCTGGGCACTCGTTGCTGTCCACGCTGAGAAAAGCAATGGCACAGGCTATTAGAGAGATAATGGCAGCTAATTCAGAGCTCAGATCATTCTGGTGAATGTGGATTTCACTGGCAGCTCATCCTACTCAGCGCGCCTTGGTTATGGTTTTGGCTAGAATCAAGTACTGTTGCCAAAAGAAGCCAAAGTCCTACAGGTACATCACAAGACTTTACTAAACTCCAGCTCAGAGAAACGGTATTGGTTTTCATCTGACTCACTTCCTCTATACTGTGCTTCTATTGGGGCCAACTTTGGGGGTGCACCTGTCAGAAGGGTGCACCTGGCAAGAAGAAAATGGGTAGTGCAGACAATGAATAAACAGGCAAATGCTGATGACTGGTTAGACTAGTTCAAGGTTTCTCAACCTCAACAGTGTTGATATTCTGAGCCAGAGGAATTCCTCATGGTGGAAACAGACCTGGTATGTGGCAGGCCATGGATCTGCATCCTACGCAATGCCAGGAGCACCCCAAAAAATGTCCCTCAACATTGTCAATGTGCCTTAGTCGTACAATTGCCCCCCGTTAAGAAGCATCAAAGAAGCCACTGGGTACTGCAAGAAGCCCAGGGGCTGTAAATGTAACAGATTCTATCCAGGACCATGCAGGGAGCTGCCCATCACCACACCCAGAGCATCTGGCCATGAGAGCAGGCAGGGCGCGGGTGACCGGCTCAGGACTGCTCTAAGCGACCGATACCACCGCCCTGCCAGCGTCACTCAGAAGGCTTTGGTGACCTCCAGGACAACACAGGCGATCCAGCCTGGCCTGCAGAGTTGCCTCATGCCTCATCTCCTCCAGTCCATGCCAGCTTCGTTCAGACACAAGCTCAAACTACTAAAGAGACATCACTTCGCATGCATCGCTTGAGATAAAAGAGAACCATGGACACAATGGATATACCTTAGTCATCATTTGGTCCTGTTATGTTCAGGACACATATGCAGAGAAATCGCAGCATTCACTGAGGCTAGGCCGTGGGCTGAGCTTCCTTACCCACCTTGAGACGGCAGAGGCAAAGGAGACCCGCTTCTCAGAGAGCCTCGGGAGCGCAGTGTGGTAGGGGAGGGCACGTGCACACCTGCACGTACCTCGTACCAGTGTGCCCACTGCCTGTGGGAGCGGCAGGCCGCCTGCTCCACACCACCACTGCACGACCACTCTTTGAAACTCAAATGAGTAACAGACCAGATTTAAGAGAACTCACAAGATCCTGGGAAGAGAAGTTAAAGGGGAGAGGGGATTGACAGCTTGGGTCCTCTCCTATTTTGGTCTTCAAATCTTCAACTACACAAACACATACACACACACACACACACACACACATATATATATATATATTTATATACACATATGTAACTATATACCTGTATATATACACACATACATATGTATGTACATGTAGGCATCAATGTATATATGCATATATACTTACATATATTTAATTTATATATCATATATACTCTATATGATATATATACACACATTATATATGTATGCAGGTATTTATGAACTTAAAACTTGAAAGACAATCATCCTTTATAGCAGATGAGCTTGGAATTGTAACACAGAAGACTCTTTCCTCTATGACCATGGAAATTATCCACCAGTAAGCACCACCCTTTGGCTAGCTCCTGCAAAAGCTTCCACGAACTGGAAATGAGTTCCAGGCCTTTCCCGCCCACCTTTCTTTCCCTAAACGTGTGTTCTAATTACTGACAGTGAATCAAACACAAGCTCTGATTGCTGAGGCAGGTAAGAGGAAGAAAACAAACATTGTAAGCTATCTTGAAGTAGGCTCTGATGTTTAAGTCCACAAAACGAAAACCCATCAAGTGCCTGAAAGAGTCCCCAGCAGCAGCCAAGGCAGCAACAGCAGTCTCCATGCAAGAGGAAGATGTGCGTGAGAGCGACAGCGAACAGCGTGTGACTTTGCTAGAGAAACTGGAGGAAGCGTAAGCAGCCTGGAAAAGCCGTGAGTCAGTGCAAAGCTTTACTTACCATTCGTGTTTTACTGTGAGAAAGCGTTTGGGCTTTTATTTACCAGTGCGAGAAAGAAACTTGAGGTGCCAACAGTTCAGGGGAAACAAAAATCTTAGAGAAAATGCAAGTACTAGGTGTCCAGGGGAAAATGACTTGAACATTTTTGAAGTAACAGTGGAATGCAGTCTTAGATACCGGTGTCCAAACTCTCATAGAAATTAGCAAGTGTAATCTATAAAGTGTTACTACATGTCTACGTTATGTTATTGCCTTTTGGCAAACACCAACACAGAATGGAAACCTGCCAGGTCACACCTATAACCCTAGCTACTCAGGAGGCTGAGATCTGAGGATTGAGAGCCAGCCTGGGTTGATAAATCTGAGTCTCTTATCTCCAGTTAACAAAGTAGTAAAGTATCAGCCATGAGCAAAAAAAAAAAAAAACCAAACTGCCAAGCCAAGAGGCCCTAGATTTAAGCCCAAGTATTGGTGCATACACACACACACAAACCCACAATCTTCAATATTTTTAGATGTAATCAGTATCACCAAATACAAAGGGAGAAATAATATTAGCGGCCATTGCCAAAACTGTAATTAATGTGCACAGTGGATTTGGATTAACAAGTGAAACTACAAAATACTGACTTTAAATTCTACCCTAAAACATTAAGTGGAGAAACTTGGACCCAGGCTAAGACTGCAATAAACAGATGCAGCCAAAGGCTGACTAAACAAACAAACAAACGCATGATGTCATTCTGTTGGAGCTATGGAAGCCACTGCCACTTCTCAGGTCTTGGCAGTGTGACACATCACAGGAAAGAGATGGGGAAAAATATTGGGGGGGGGGACTAAATGAAAGGTCTCCTGAGACTGGAGGTCTTTTTAATATACTTTTCTTAGGTGGGGGGAATGAGAAACAACAACAAGAAGAACAATAAAAGAGAGAATGAATATAAGGATGTCATGTACGTATTTGCGAGCGGCTGGCAGAGACCTCTTTCTAGCACACTGGTAGATAAAAGGGGCCGGGCGTCAGGTTAGCGTGGGTCGCGCTTGCTTTGCTGGCGCACGCGCACTTACGTCTGTGATAGTGTTCAGGGCCGTGTCTGCCCCGATGCTGAAATCAGAACCCGGCACATTGTTGGAGACAGTAGCAGGAACCATGACCATAGGGACACAGAACTCCTCGTAGTGCTCCCGGGCAGCTGCCAGCTCTAGGAGTCCCAGGTAGGCCTGTCAGATAAGTGTGTGTGATTGTGGGCCGGGGAGGGGGCAGGAGGGGCACGGAGAGGTGTCGCTGGGAGTGAGGGTGCACAGGAGGGCCTCGGGGTGCCACTTGTACCACAGCGCACGGGGTAAACAGTGGGAACCGGGGACCACTAAAAAAATCAACACAGAGATGCATTAAGACCACAGACAAGGAGAAGCAGTTCCTTAAGACAAAGGAGAAAATAGTATGGGGCATGATCATTTAGAAGAAGGAAGACTGTGTTCTTTTCAGGGCCAGAAGCTAGCTCCTGGAGGTCCTTACAGCTTTCAGAATGATGAGAGGTATTCATAGGACTGGTATTTATGAAATGTAAGATGTTTATTATTAGATATAAAATACTAAAGAGGGCATAATAAAGAACGACAGTCCAACATCTGATTTTGTTTTACATCTAAAAAGAAAATCTAAGTACCTAATTTCAAGAACCCAAGAGATGGAATTATTTCTGTGGGTGTAGAAACGAATCAGGGCTGTCAAGAGTTGAGTCTCACCTAAGGACTCCAGTGGTCGCTTCCCTAGTCATTTACTTAATCAGAACTGGGTCAGTTTTAGCCATCTCTTGCCACCCTGTGCTGTTCTGCATTACAATGAGCCAGGGCCTTGGGACTGGAAAATCTAAAATCCCAGCTCCTGAAGAGTAGCCAACAGCTACTCGGCTCGTGTGAAGCTAGCACGAGTTGCCACTTGTGGCTCAAGACTAAATAAACACATTAAATAGAGAATCGACAATGTACCTCAAACCCCCCAATGACCAGGAGGGCGTTGATATTGTGGTTCTTCATCTGTTTGGCGATCTGTTCCAAATACTTTCCGGGCAGGATACTGGAAACAAGACAGACCAAGAAACCAAGTCAGACAGGGACGAGCTTTTCAAGTTCCAGGAACCATCACCCCACCTCCTAAGCAAACCCCTTAGGAGACCCCCGCTGCTCCCAGGCCTCCTCTTCTACCTCCTGTCCACGGCCAAACTCAGTGGCATGTAGGAGCGGTGGGCAGTGCCTTCGTAGTGAGCAGAGAGCACCCTGGAGCGGCCAGGAGCCACAGCTCAAAAGAAGACATTTTTCAAAAGTAAGTAGTAGCTAGAAGTGTTCCAGCTCATTTGCATTATTCAAATCAACTTCATTGAAAACCCAAATTGGCTAGCTCTCTCCAGTGCTGTCTCTCCAGTGTTTCAAATGACTAGGTCAACCAGCACTACCGGAAGTGAATGGGATGTGCTTGTGTCCTTTCTCAAAATTCCATCCAACAGCCACCCTTCACTTTTTGTTTGCCTAAACAGGAGAAAATGGTACTTTCACTCCTGATAAGATTAGTAAGTAGTTACAGGAGAAAAATGCTCAATCATATAGCTAATCGGATCAAACAAGAGGATATTTCTAACAGCATAATTTTGTCTTTAAGGAGGGCTGGTTTTGAGACAGCCTCTTGCTATACGGGACAGACTGCCCAAGACCTCAGAACCATCCTGCCTCCATATCTGGAGTGCTGAGTTTATAGGTGTGCAACACCCTGCTTGGCTTCAGAATGCGTCCAAGGTTGTCAAGTCTTCCCCCCCCCCCCGACTACTCGAGGGACACACCCAATACGTGTACGCTAGCTGCTGGTGCTCTCACCAACTTCAAGCTCCGTCCGTGTGCTTCTGTGCGTAACACGGTAACTAGGGTCCAGAAAGCACCACTCATCTTTAGACCAAAACAAGACAGAAGCTTTATGCACACTGTTTTGCTTTCAAATACACTGAGGAATTATTGGAGAAAAGGGTCTTCTCTTGGCAAAAAAAGCTCTAGGAATTATCCTTAATGTCCTAAAACATGGCTGGGGTTCTGGGGTGACGATAGGTCTGTGTCTATTCACCTCTTCCTTTAGCAATTCCTTCTGGATTACAGAAGGCATCTACCCTTGGCTACTCTCTTCTAGAATATAGCCTTTTGTCCTTCCGTAAGTTAGGTCAAAGAATTAGAAGACTTTTGAAATTACCGTTTTGTCCCGAGAATGGACCCTCCTTGGCCAGTCCAACCTCCGACATCTGACCAGCCGATTTTTTTTATCTAATGTGGAAACACACCGAGAAATAGCTCAAATGAGGGAGAAAGGAGAATTAGAAAACTCTAAACTGATTGTTCCAAATTTTTGGATTTCATCTGGCCCAGTCAGCACTTAAGATCTGGGAAACTTTACTGGACTGTTCATTCATAGCGACGTTGAATGGGGTAGGGATATGGAATGTACTCCTGAGATAAGCTATTTGTAAGAATCCTCAATAAAACAATTCTCTCTCAGTCCAGGGACCTCTGTACCCTACCACCAGACAGGTGTTCTAGAAAGACACTTCAGCTGGCCAAGTTCTGTCCCTGGGAAAGAAAAAAATAAGTTTATACTTTGGGGTGTTTTGTTTTTAGTCCTTCCTTCCTTCCTTCCTTCCTTGAATTGAGCCCAGAACATCTGAACCATGGTTCTGGCCATTTTGTTTGTTAGTGTGTTCATTTATTCATCCATCCACACACTTTTTGTGGCAGGACTGGCTTGTGAACTCCAGGCCTCACACTGCTTAGGAAAGTAATCTACCACTAGAGTCACTCTGCCAGCCTGTCTTCGCATTGATTATTTTTCAGATGTGGTCACCTCTTAATGCAGGGGCCAGCCTGGGCCATGACCCTCCGGCTTGTGCTTCCACTCATGGCTTGGATGACAGGCATGTGCCATCATACCCAGCCCCTACGCATGCTTCCCCTGTAGCTTGGGACCACAGGTACGGTACATCCGTCTAGATGCAATCACCTCTTCTGGGTCCCATTCTTCACAGGAAGCCCTGAGGGCTCAGAGTCAGACACTTTTTTCTCTACAGTCTCCACTGGAGTCCTCTGAAGAGCTTCCCAAGCTCCACGATTCTCCCGATCCTCCTTGAAGAGGCCAGGCTACAGTATCCAACTGCCTGGAACATCTTTCCTCAGACATCCAACAAACAACCTCAACACAGCGCCTCACCTTTCCCACATCTGGCACTTGTAATTCTAGTCCCTCCACTGACTCAGGCTAGACCGGGACTGACGCCTGACTCATACCTATGACCATTTAGCGAATGAACACTGTAGTCCTTACTTTTACTTTTACCTGTAAGACCCCCCCCAACTGTCTCAGCTGACAGGTGAGCTGACCAAGTGCCACCCTCCAAGTTCTGCCACTGATGGACACCAGAAGGTCCTTGCAAAAAGCCAGACTAGGTGTCACATCCCTGCTCAAGACCAAACTCCTTACTGCTGACTACAGACGACCTTTCCCCTCTATCACCTCCTTTCCTTCCTCTTTCTTCCTCCCCTACCACAGTAGCCTAGTCCTCACCATTCTGGACCATAAGCAATACCTACCTGAGGGCCTTTACAGTGGCCTTTCCTCTACCCAGAACTAATATCACCCATGTCCACAAAGAGCCATGTACTCCGAGACCTGTGTCCCTCGGGCATGAGCATAGTTCCTCTGTCTCTCCTCCACTCGCCTGTGTAATAACTTACATGACCCACTCCTACTCTTCCTACTGACATCTCACCGAGGCCCCACACATCGAATGACAGGCATAAGAACTTCACAAAATAAATTAGCTGCTGACTATTTAAATGGACGAGAGCATGGATGAATGAATGAATCTCGTAGCTCAACACAGTCAAGCACAGGATTCACAGCCCCACAATTCTGTTTCAGACAGTGCATCATGTGAATAGGATCAAGTTAATGTCACTGGGTCTCATCAGAGAACCGGGAATAAAACCATGAGCTCGTGGCTCTTGCTTGTAATTCCAGCTATTCAAGAGACTGAGATCTGAGAATCGGGATTCAAAGCAAGCCCTGGCAGCAAAGTCTGCAGACTCTTTATCTCTGATTAACCAGAAAAAAGCTAGAAGGGGAGCTGTGGCTTAAGAGTCAGAGCACCAGTAAGAGGCAGCACCCAAACTATGAATTCAAGTTGCACACACAATAAAAAAAAAAAAGGAAGGAAGGAGGCAGGGAAGGAGGGAATCAGAAGGAAGGAAGGAAGGAGGAAGGAAGGAAGGAAGGACTTGGACATAATATTACATCTAGTGTAAGCTATAAATAGGTTAATAGACGTAAATTCCACAGAGTAATGAGATATAATAAGCACACAACGGTTGTTACTGTCTCATTTTTGTGGTACTATGGACAGAACTCAGGGCCTTGAGCAGGGTAGACAAGCACAGTAGGGTTTTAAATCCAGTGAGTCTTGCATTTGTCAGATGCTTTGTACTTTGCATGCAAGTCCCCTTCACGCATAACCACAGTGCGTGAGGCTTGAGGACATCACGCATCACTGTATGCTGGTGCCTTCTTAGAAAAACTTAAAAAAAAAAAAAAAACCTCAGACACCTTCAAGGCTCAGAGTCTAACCGAGGGCAGGATGCTAGCCCTGAACCGCTGTGGTCACAATCACACAGACGAGTGAATCTGAAGTACTGAGAGGAATGGGGCGGCTGGCCTGAGCATGTGTGGTGATGTTCCCGCCCTCCTGGGAGCCTCACCTGGCCTTTGGCAAAGCCATCAAAGCCATCGTAGATGGCGAACATCTTGTGGCCGTCTGAGATCCCCACGCGTACCGCGGAGCGCACGGCTGCATTCATCCCAGCTGCAGGCGCCCCGACGTTGATGATAGCCACGTTGCAATTGCTCTGAAAACAGGAAGTAGGGAGGCTTTGGGTTACCAGGTATGCACCACCGTTGCCTGCTGCACGCCCTGTCGGTGGCCTGCACCATGACCTCATCTGACACTGGCATGGAGGTCAAGATGGAAAAGGGTCAGTTAGAGAGGTTGGGGGCCTAGAACCTCGGTCCCTGTGGGCAGAGGCATGGATGCCGGCTACTTACCTTGGTGATCTGGTCATCTGGCAACTTGATGGCCAGTCGCTTGTAAGTTTTCAGGTTGCCCTCAAAGCTCCTAAAGAAAAGGGGGTGGGGGGGTTGTCCAATGTTAAACTAGTGGGCCACAGGAGAAAACTCATTTCATCTGGGGGCAGGAGACAGATCTAACAGTTTCTGCAGATGCTAAAGGAGCCTTTGGCTACTGTGGAAGAGACCCTCCCATTACAGACATCCCAAGAGCCCTCACTGGTATCTTTCTAATCTGTTATCAGACTTAAGAAATATGGAATTTTCTTGCTCTTCTTAAGTCTCTTTTTAAATGTTGGCTGTGTGTCACCTTGTACCTTAATTTTAGTAAGCTCTGAACAGCCCTCCTTCATCCAGCAAAAATCAAGGGAGAAGTAGAAAGCTCCATTTCTCCTTGTCTAACTCCTAAGCCTTCAGCCTCACTGCACAAATATTATTTGACCTATTCCTTGAGTTTTTCTGTTTTGGCTCTTGAGAGAGAAAAGAAGAATCACAGCCATCACAGGCCCAAGGAAGAGACGTTTGTTCTTTGTTTGATTCCAAAGAACTCACCTCCCCCGGAGCTGCACCGCATCTTTGAATCTTCTCTCATCCATTGCTTTCTGCACGTCCTGGGTCTTTAAAATAAAACCAAGAGAGCAAAGAAAGCATCAGGGCTTGTTATGTCCACGGGTGGACCGTGGATGGGAAACCCCATCAGACTGGCCGTGGCCGGACCTCCCTCACGGTCTGGCCCTTGGCTGGCGTGGAGCCCCACGGCATAGCACGAAGACCCCTGGCTGCCCTCTGCTCGGAACGCTGGTTGGCAGCCAGCCTATCACAGTCCAGCTGTGAGGCTGGAGTCCCAGGCTCCACCCAGTTCTTGCTTGCAAGGAAAAGGAAGGAGTCCTTGCCAATCATGGCCATGAAATTATAAGGATTTCTCCACAAAGGCAAAGCTAGGGGAAATGGGTCTGTCAGGGAAGGGTTTGTGAAAAGCTCTCAATCTAACTCTGGTAAAATTAACCAAACACAGACCACTGCCTCTCTGGGTGCTCCCAGAAGGTGAAGGAAGAAGAAGGGAGCCACCCCAAGACCAAAGGGCTCGGGGCCAACATGCCCTTGTTAACCCCAGCTAACTTCAGGATCTCAGGCAAGTGACCTGTCTCTCCAATCTAAGCAAAGGAAAATACCCCAATTTCCAGCTTCAAGATGTGAGATCTTTAGGAAAACATCTGATGAACTATAGGTGACCAATCATTAGCTCACTGTGGACTTTTCGCAATGAAACCTCGAAGGGGCTGCATGCAGAACAAGCTACCCTAAATCGTCTCCGGGTGGAGAGAGAAATCAGGCATGAGAAACAGACTTGAAATAAGTGAACTGCGCTCAGTTCAGCACTGTGAGCCCCTGCCACCTCTCACACAGTTCCTTTGCTTCCTGTCTTCCTGTCCCTGAGGAGACCACACACACACACACACACACACACACACACACACACACAGAGATGTGGATGCATGACACAGGCCCAAGCGCATGCGCGCGTGCGCGTACACACACACACACACACACACACACACACAAACACGCATACAACACAAACAGCACACAAGGCAGACATTCTTCACTCGGTACGTGTGGTGCAACTGGGATTTCTACAGGTTACTCTCAACGAATCCATTGACTTAAATTACTTCTCCACTTCTCCCTATCCCTTACAAACAGCATGCACGGCAGGGCCATTACAGAGAGCAGGTAAAGTCACAGATACAAATGCATTTTGGAAAAATTATAAGATACTAACAGTTTCTAATAAAACCAGGCCATCGCTCCTTCTCCCTGTGGAATGAAGGCTACATTACAATCCCTGCACCACTGTTGTGCAGTATCTGAGGCCTAGGTAAATCCTCTTTGACTTGTCTATCGGAGAGGTCACTACCCATGATGGAAGCCAGGAAAGCAAGGACATCGATGACATCGGCTTTACATGGTTGGCAGTGACAGCAGGCAAGAAAGTTCTGTCGGCAAGCAAAGGCCAGCTCATCCTGGCTTCAGAAAGGCGTGCATGGACTGCGCGGCAGACACACGCCATCTGTCCCCGCCCGCCCGTGCCCACACCAGGCCCGAGCTCACCATCTGCACACATTCCACCAGGGGCAGGCGCACGGCTTGGTTCCCGCTCAGTGACACGACACAGGCCGGGGTGTCGGGCGTGGCCTCCAGCAGGGCGATAACTGCCTCCACCCCCATGCGGCTGGCCTGGGGATGACATTGGAAACCATCCACGAGGGGCCTCCATGCTGGGCCAACCACGGAGCCCCTGGCTACTGAGACCACCATAGACCCCGCTTCCCACCTACTTCCTGTGCTCCAGAACACATCTGGAATGGGTACTGTCACCAGATCCTCACACTGGGCAGTTTCCCCCAGTCTTTCTTCAGACACAGATGGGTACAATCGATCAAGTTGTTTCTCACCCCTCTAACACAGCCTGCCTCTCTGTCTGGGAGAACTAGCGGGAGGGGCAGGAACAGGGGTAGCTAGGGACATAGGGACAGCCCTAAGAACGAAGGATTCGGAGTCAAACTTCCAGCTGACCCCTGGAGTCGGTTGCCGGAGACTTAGGCTCGGAACCCGACCTTGTTAGATCCCGACTCCCCCGTCCTCCTCATGATTGGAGGCGGGGGTCTCCCAGCCTCTGTGTGACCGAGGCTGGCTGTGTTTGGAAGTCTCCAAGGATCTTCCCAACTGAGGACATGAGCAGATCGCACCTCTGGGGTTGAGTATGCTGAGCTTCATGAAGAAGTGGCTCATTTGAATGTCCAGAAATACCCCTTTCTCCTGAGATCTGGTGAAAGTGCCCAGCGCCCCATCCTCCATTACCAAAATCCTGTCGAATGCGGAAGGAGTCCCTCCTCTCTGCACATGTCCAAGAATGGTCACGCGGGTGTCGTATCCCAGCTGCTTCACTACAAGCTGCAAGAGAGATCTCCATCAGGAAAACCAGGACCATGTGGAGACGCACGGCGTGGGCACATCAACTCTCAGCTCCTACCGGGAACTCTGCCCAGAGCAAGGGTTCCACTCTTCTGCCTTCAGACACAAGCCACACAAATTGTCACATCTAAGCTTCCTTTCCTAAAGGATGGTTCCGTGGAACTGCCCATTAAAATGTGTTTTATTTATTCATTTGTTGTTCCATGTGTTCTTGAGAGAGAATATCTGTATATAACCCAGACTGGCTTAAGAACACATTCTTGAAGCAGCCCTGGCTGGCCATGAACTTGAGATCCTCCTACTTCAATCTAAGTGTTAAGATCAAGGCATATGGCTAAGAAATTTTAAGACTGTACTTCTATAGTTTAAATAAAGTCTTTGTCTCCCAACAAGCAAAGGATAATAATGACTTGCTTCCTTATAAAAAGGTATCAAATCTGGCACCTGTGGCTCAGTCTTTTAATCCTAGCTACACAAGAGACTGAAATCTGAGAGTTCCTGGTTGAAGCCAGCCTGGGAAGAAAATTCTTGGAGCCTCTTAACTCCAAATCACCAACAAACATCTGGAAGTGGAGCTGTGGCTCAAGTGCTACAGTGCCATTCCTGAGTAAAAAAGCTGTATGATTGGGCCCTGCCCGAGTTCAAGCCCCAGTTACTGGCATACACTCATGCAGTCACACACGCACGCACACACACACAAACACAATTCCCCAGTTTAAAGTAGTATTACTTATGTTCTATGGAGATATAAAGACTTAACTTTTTATCACTCCGAGAGTGTGACCTGGCAGACTCAGCCTCCACTGGGTGGGAAGGGCAGCTGGTGACTTGGGGACTCAGCAGACCTCCCTGTGACTCAGTTTACTCCTTGATACCAACAGTGGGAACAGTGAAACTGATTCATGGCCACTTACTGTTCAATGTTCCATGACTTAATCTCAACTTCAAGTAAGTGAGAAGGAAAAGTTTTGCCCTGGTTTTCTTGTTTGCTGCTGGTAAACATTGTCAGATGTCTTTCTTGAGTTCCAGTCATTGGACTTAATACTGAAGGGTGTGGCTAGTTCTGAGATCAGTAAGAAATGAAATTTGCTCCTTAAGTGAAGATAATCATGAAAAAGAAATCAACTTGTAAACGCAGGTAATGGCTGTGGCCCTGACCCACAGATCCATCGAGAATCTGACTACCAACAATGTCTGCCTGAAACACTGGAATTCTGTGGATCCCGGTGAGCACCAGGAGAGGTGAGCCTGTCCAGCTAGGCCCTGCCCGTCCTCACCAGCACGAGGAAACAGTAACTTTCTTAGTGAGAATGTGCTTAAGAAATTGAGCCTGCCATTTTGGCTTGAACTCGGTCAGGGCCTTACGCTCTTCTGTTTTTTTCTCACTCAAGGCTAACATTCTACCACTTGAGGCACATCTCCATTTCTAGATTTTGTGTGTGTATGTGCCAATCTTATGGCTTGAACTCAAAACCTGGGCATTGTCCTTGGGCTTTTTTGTTTTGCTATTTTATTTTTTATTTGCTCTACCACTGTAGCCACAGCTCCACTCCCAGCTATTTTTCTGGCAGTTAACTGAAAATAAGGGTCTCACGGACTTTCTGGCCTGAACTGGCTTTGAACTGTAATTCCTGATCTCAGCCTCCTGAGTAGCTAGTATTGTTTACAGGTGTGAGCCACCAGTGCCCAGTCACTTCTGGCTTTTTGCTGGTTAACTAGAGATAAGATTCTCATGGAATTTTCTGCCCGGGATGGGTTTGAACTGCAATCCTCAAACCTCAACTTTCTATACAGTAGCCAGGATTACAGGCAAGGGCCACCTGCACTTCGCCCAAATAAAATATTTAATACAATGCAATGTTCCAAATCAATATTTGCCTCCTATTTCTATTTGGCAACAGAGGGGGAAAAAAGTGAGATCACACACACACACACACACACACACACACACACACACACACACTTACGTCCTTGATTGTCTCTGAGCTGATAGGTTTATTTTGTCGGTCAATTGCTCCTTCAGCCACAATGATAATGTTCAGCCTTTTTTTCCGAGCACGGTTCTAAGAGAAGAGAAAATCAAATCTCTCACGTTCTTAATCTGTTTCTGATGACGGCAATCACAAAACCATATAAGTCTGTCCCAATGTGTTGTACTGGCTTCTTTCCAAACAGAAAGTTTTGCTTAATATGGAAGGGAGAGCTTGTTAGCTGCTTCCAAAGGAGGAGAGAGGGACTCTGACAGGGCTCCGGCCAAGCAGTGGGAGGTCTGGGGGGCACTGCTACTACAGAGGAGATCCCTGCCACAGAGGGCAATTTAGGCTGGACCCCCTCTGTGAGCACACATAAAGGCTTTCTGCCACATGCCTGTCCACTGCCCCAGGAACATCCATCCACACCTCTCTGTGAGTCCAAGACATCTCTGCCATTATGATTGGAGGGTATTGGGCCCAATAAACAGATACAACACAGGAATGCTCTTGTTGGGATCTAGAATGTTCCCTGTGTCCCAGGCGTGGCTCCCTCATCCATGGGACTACATGGGTTTGGAGGCCTATAAAATGGGCCATGCTTCAGAGAATTTGTTCATATCAAGCATTTTCTTAAAGCACAGAGTGATCGATGATCTGGTCATTGCTGTCAGAAGCAGATGTATGGGTTTGCCTCCATCCATAAAACACTGCAGAGGTTATGAGCAATGCAGCTCTGGCAATTTCTCTATGGCATTATTCTTTGGAATTTCAGGAACCGACAGGACACGTCAACAGACAGGGCAAAAGAAAAAAAAATTCTGCAAGAAGCTGGACCTCATTTCACATCAGCAAGTCCTCACTTGCTTACTAAGTTGGGCAAACTGGCAGCTGCAGAGACCCTGTGAACTGTAACTATAGCTATTCGGCTCAATCCCTGGCAGTCCATGCAGAGGAATCCCAGTTACCTCCGAGAGCTTGACGCACATGCTCTCTTCCCAGCCTTCTTCAGGCGGCGACTCTGGGAGGAACACCCAGTCCGCCCCGCAGGCCAAGGCACTCACCAAGGCCAAGTACCTGCACAGAAAGAGTGTCACGTCAATGCAACACAAAGCACTCTCCCTGCAAGGCTACTGCAACACCCAAGCTTAGAGACAAATGCAAGCAGAATGACACTGCAGACAATAAACGCTATGGCCTCTCTGTCCACAGAGCCACAGGTATCTGCAATGCAGGGAGCAGAGTACTGAAGGAGAGGGTGCGGAGAGTCTTTCCCACCCGATCACATGTGCAGGTACATACCCACAGTGTCTCCCCATCACCTCCAGGACAAAGGTCCTCTGATGGCTGGAGAAAATAAAAAAAGGGTACAGTCAGTCATTGTCACTGAGAACGCAGGAAAGGCAGACAGAAAAAGTGCCCTCATAGCCCAGTGAGACAGAAAGTCTGCCTCATAATTACAGGCAAGAAGTTGCCAAAAAATGACTAGTTTCCTACAAAAGGCAAATGTTACTACAAAGGTGTTTCAGGGATGCGGAGCTGAGGGGAATCCGAGGTGACTGTGTTTGTTAGGTACGGATTTTACAACTTCTATCACATACACCCCAAGGCTTCCTTATACTCCTAGGTGCTTTGTCATGCTCTTTCTGAGTTCATGACTGTACTTCTGTCTATAACCCTGGGCTGGGTACACCCCACAGTAGCACATGAGCATGAGTGTCACAATCAGCTCCATTAATTTCCAAGGACCAGGGTCTTTCCATCAATGGAAAAACTCCACTGTTCTGAGCCATCCTGTCAACACCGGGGATGCGGTTTCCAGTAACCACTAAGCTCACAGCCACAGACTAAGATGGCTGTGCACGGCACAACTAAACAAAGGTAATCATGAGGCCCTACTCTCAGAGTTCTTATTCAATGTTCTGAGTCTCAAGCTACTTATTTAAAAAAAGGGAAACTAACTGGTAACCCAAACCTGCAATCCTAGTTAGTCAGGAGCCTGAGATCTGAGGATCACAGTTCAAAGCCAGCTCAGGCAGAGAAGTCCGTGAGACTTGCCAAAGCAAGAAGGTGAGGTCCCAGTCAAGTAAGGAGACTGGGTCTATGTTCCTCTAGGTAAGTGCCCCTTGATTTCCCCTGATTGTTTCCCTAAATGGTTTGTTTTGACTTAATCCTTCTATTAGGTTTAAGTGTTCTCATCTAGTTTGCTTTGCTTATGTACAAGACTTTTGCTAGGTTTAATTCCACACACTTTATGCGGTCTTGGCCTGTATAAGCTTTGTGCTAACTGCCCACAAGCAGCCCTCCGGCTCGCCAATACTGGTAAGTTGGCCTCTGACATGGTGGCTTCTCTGTCTCTCACGAGTGAGTTTCTGTACAACACCAGTACCAGCTTCTAATACTCCAGTTAGCCACCCTTCAGCAGAGCTGCCCTCCTGGTTTCCCTAAGTCCTTTTACCTCTGGGCTGTGGTCATGATGGCATCGACGACTTCGATGATCCTGTGCAAAGCGGAGTCAGTGCCAATGGTCATGTCTGTGCCACAGAAGTCGTTGTCGATGGAGCCCACCATACCGACCACATTGAGGTGAGCGTACTTCTGCACGGCCTCGTTATCTATCTCCCCTGCGTGAGAAGCAAGCACACACTCCATCACCCATGAGAGATGAGGACTCCCTTAAGTGCCATTCGGTGGGAGACCAAGTAAGGCATGTTACAGTAAAGAGAGCCATTACTCCAAACTCTTTCTCTTCATTATTTCACTGGAACTATTTGCAACTGAGTGTGCACACTTAAAAGGAAAGACAGGCAAAGGCAGAAGTAAATTATTCAAAATATGAGTTGTCACTTGGCACTTAGCAAGATCAGCAAGTTTTGTTTGTTTTGTGTGTTGCCGGTCGTGGGGCCTGAGCTCTGGGCCTGGGCGCTATCCCTTAGCTCTTCAGCTCAAGGCTAGCACTCAACCACTTGAGCCACAGCCACCACTTCTGGCTTTTTCTGCTTATGTGTTACTGAGGAAATCTAACCCAGGGACTCATGCATTCAAAGCAAGCACTCTACCACTGAGCCACCTTCCCAGTCCCAAGAACAGCAAGTTATTTTTAAAAAGAAAGGAAAAGAAAAGAAAAGAAAATCATCTATATGTTGCAATCAATACATTAAGAAAAAAAAAACCTAGAAGCATTGGTGGCTCACACCTGTAATCTTAGCTAATCAGGAGGCTGAGATCTGAGATTTAAGGTTCAAAGCTAGTTTAGGCAGGAAAGTCTGTGCGACTCTTATCTCCAATTAACCACCAGAAAACTGGAAGTGGAGCTGTGGCTCAAAGTGGTAGAGTACTAGCCTTGAGCACAAGGTTTAAGGACAGTGCCCAGGCAAGTTCAAGCCCCATGAGCAACAACAACAACAAAAAAAACAAACAAAAAAGCCTCAATTTTGCCTAGCAATGGCTTTGAAGAATTCATGGTTCTGGATAAGGATACATCACAATTTCATAATTAAGCACCTTAGTAATGTTGGTCATCTTCATAGAGATTTCTTATTCCAGAAATCAAAATAATAGCTTTAAAGAGAACAAAACTAAAGTACATAATAGACTTCTCAGAAATCCTTTTCTGTAGCAGCATAAAAGATTACATAATAGCAGATCATTAGTGTCCAAATTACAATCTTTCAACCATGTGGATACATTTGTATATGTCCTGCTGGGAATCAAACCATGACTGTGTGCACACTAGACAAAGTATCTTACCACTGAGTTACTCTCTAACCCAGCAACTGAGATGTAAAAAACCTCAGCCTACCTGGAGTAATAGGGTGGGGATGGTTACAAATGTGGGCACTGAATGCTGACGGCCGGTGTAGACCACGGTGGACTCACAGCTCTGTGGCTGCCTGCCCCCACACACTCCTCACCTATAAAACAGGGATGGACAATGCCCCCATTGCACAGGGCTGGAACAAACACTCTATGAGACCCTGTGTATACTGTGGAATGTTACTTGACATGTTGTAAGGCTTTTTATTTTCATTACTGAGATGACTTTATAGATGCAAACTGAAATTCCGAGATAACAAACAACAACTGCTACTACTACTGTGAAAGGCAAAATCAACTAGGCACTGGTGGCTCACACCTGTTATCCTAGCTACTTGAAAGGATGAGACTGAGAGAACTGAAGTTCAAGACTAACCTGGACAAGAAGACATCTTAATGAATATCTGGACACGGTGGTACACACCAGTCATCCTAGCTACAATGGCAAGCCTACCATAGATAGACCATACCCAAGTGTAGTTCACCTAGGCAGGAAGTGAGACCAAGATCCTATTGGAAAATTAGAAAACAAGACTGGCGGCATGGCTCAGAAGTAATATATACATATTACACACACACACACACACACACACACACACACACACACATATTTGTTGAGAGTGGATTATAAAGCTTAAAAAGGAGAATGTAAGATTTCCAAAGCATGAGAAGGCAAATGTGGAAACAAAGTCCCGGGACCAGCAGGCACAGAAGCAGAAGCCTACCATTCTCAGCCAGCTCCTCCAGAAGTCCACTCCACTCCTTCCGGAAGAGGTTGGCCCCCGTGAGGCTTCCGTCCCCTCCGATCACGCACAGGTTGGTGATGCCCAGCCGAACCAAGTTACAGGCAGCTTTCAGACGACCTTCACGGGTGCGGAAGACTTGACAACGGGCGCTGCCGATAATCGTCCCGCCCTGAAAAGAAATATACAAGGATGATTATTCATCTCCTTTCAGCTGGACAGAAGGCTAGATGGATGAGAAGAGGCTCAGGTTAACACACACCTACAGGACCTGGCTTGTTTATGCCTTCCTTAGTTCCATTGTCCACTGTCAAAGTTTGTCATTTTTTTCCCACTTTGAGTCCCACACTGGACTCAAATACTCAATACTGGAACTTAATACTGTTCTAACTTCTTGCAAAGATGGCTCTACCTAATCCTTGGTTTTCAAAATTTCCTTCCTTCTTTCCAGACATAGCAAAGGGATGAAGTCTCCCAGTGCTAACTCAAGCTTTGAGTTGTATTAAAATGCACACCCTATGAGCAGAATTGTTCAGGGACAGCTCCCAGGCCTAGAGCTCAAGCCCCATGACTGACAGGAAAAAAAAAAAAAGAGAGAGAGAGAGAGATCTTCCATGCGATTGTTTCTAACATATTTATAAGATTATGTCTTGTTGCCTTGTATGTCCCTCCCCCATGCTATAACCCCTACTTTCACTGTATATGATGTTGGTATATGTGGAGGAGAAGGGAAAAAACAAATTGTTAAAACAGGGATACAGGAGGACCCATTGCAACAATGAGATGTACAAGTCGTTATGTCGAAAAACAAACTTAACAACTTTGGTGGGGGGGGGGCGGGTGGGATACGAAGGGATGGGAAGGATAAACAAAGCAGGAGGCTACAATGCTTGATAAGAAATGTGCTCATTATCTTACCCATGTAATTGTAACCCCTCTGTACAGTATTTTCACAATAAAAATATATTTTAAAAAAATGCACACCCTAAGGCTGGGCACAGGTGGCTCACACCTGTAATCCTAGCTACTCAGGAAACTGAGATATAAAAATTGCAGTTTTAGGCTAGGAATGTGGCTTAGTGGTAGAGTACTTGCCTAGTGTGCATGAAGCCCTGGGTTCGATTCCTCAGTACCATATAAACAGAAAATGTCAGAAGTGGTGCTGTGGTTCACGTGGTAGAGTGCTAACCTTGGGCAAAAGAAGCTCTGGAACAGTGCCCAGGGCCTGAGTTCAAGCCCAGGGCTGGAAATAAATAAATTAATAAATTAAAAAAATTGCAGTTTGAAGCTAGCCCAAGCAGGAAAGTTCATGAGATTATTATCTCCAATTAACCACCAAAAATCTGGAAATGCAGCTGTGGCTCAAGTGGTGAAGCACCAGCCATGAACAAAAATACAAGAGACAGTGTCCAGACCCTGGGTTCAAACCCCAGTACTCACAATGAAAAAAGAAATAAGTAAAATAAAATAAAATGCAAACCCTGCTAGCATACATGCTAATTTGGCTCCTACTAAAAAACACTCAAAGTGAATCACAGATTAATTATAAATTAGCTAGTTACTCTATACATAATTGTGATTAACTAGTTAATTACTCTATACATTTTAAGCGTTCAAACTACAAATAAAGAGCTTTTCATGAAGTCTTTTCTTTCCACATAATCTCTTTATTCCATAACTAATAAAGGAGCCTTCAGTAAGTATTCCATGAATGTATGAAGTGCAAAAGTCCTTGGGCAGATTACTCTCAAATTCAATGTAAGCACGTCTTAGCTTACAATGGCAATTACTTCTTCATTGTATCCAACAGGGAAATTAGCCTTGTCTGCTTCAGTCCAGAACAAGGACACAGTGTCCCCATGAAATCCACAGCCCTTGGCGGCTGTCAGACAGAATCTTTCCCAGGCTTTGTGATGCTCAACCACCAAGCGATACACAAATGCCCAAATGGGCACAGAGATTTGCCACTGAAAACCTAGCGTTAACAAACCTAATGGCTTCAATAACTTCAATGTGGCCTAAAAACCAACAGCAAAAGTCTTCCAATACATGTACCACAATGAACACTAGCTGGGACACACGACTCTGTATTGCGCAGATACTTCCTGGGTTGCACCAGTCAGGGGCTTTCAAATTTATTATGTAATCAGGGAACAAAGGCAGGATGTTTTATTTCCATGAGAATAGTTTTGATTTCCTAAAGCCAGTCTGGGGTACTCGGGTGCTTTACATGTTACTGCAGCAGAAGATTCAGTAAAAAGTTTCAACAAAAGCAGTCACTTGAACTTAAGAGAAACAACAAACATGGTACTTACCACTTGTAGAATGCTTGAGACGCTCTCCCAGTCGGCTTCCTGAATATTGGAGCCTCCATCCACCATGCCTTGGTAACCCTGAGGGAGGAAACAAACCTCCATGTAAAAATGGGTTGGAATCTTTTCTGTACAAATGATATAAAAATAAAAACACAGGCAAGTTCCCAAGAACCCAACAGTTTGAAGACAGTATAATACAGGTATTCAATAAGTAAGGAACAGTGTTGTAGTTAAAGCCTTTTAAATTTAACCTCTACCCAGAAGTTAAACTTAATCCCTTCCCACCCAAAGAGATCAATGGAAGACAATGTGGTCAGCCTGTTTTCCCTTGGTTCCAGGGAGTGGTGAGGGAATGGGAGTGGGAATGATGCTTGTAATTTAGCACAACCTCACAACGTTCGTACTACATGCATGATCGTGTCTGGCTCTCCACTGGCTAAGGCCATCCACTTAGTTTTTGAAACAAACTAAATAGTTTTCAAAAGATGAATTAGAATTCCGTCCATACTGTCTTTCAATTAGTGACATTTTTATTGTTTGGACGAGCAACCTTTAGTAAACTAGAAAAATCAGTACTTTCCTTTGCCTAAAATCCTTTTGGGCAATTACCTATCAACTCAATACCCCTCACTTTTTTTTCCCTCAGAAATATACCATAACGTAAAATTGAAAAGTGTCCATTTTCATCTTTATTTACATCAATTCCTTGTCAGAACCTTAATCTTGAAAAGGAATAGTCTTTAGAAACGTCTGAAATCCAACAGTCATTTACAACTATTATTGATGTAGATTCAAAAACCCTATCTAAAGAAAGATGAAAGAATGGGAAAAGGAAATGGAAAAAAGATTTTTAAAAAAGAACCAGGTGCACATTTATCCTTCCAGATACTCAAAAAGCTGAAGACTGAGGACTAAGGTTCAATACCAGCCTGGGCAACAATTTCTCTAAGACTCTAATTTCCCAATTAACCAATAAAAAGGACAGATGTGGAGTGTGGCTCAAGTGGTAGAGCACCAGCCTTGAGTGAAAAAGCTAAGGGACAACACCCAGGCCCTGAGTTCAAGCCCTAGTACTAGCACATAAGAAAAAACAAAAAAGAAATCAACTGATTAAATATGGAGCCTGGTACATAAGTTAATCAACATCTTTATATAACCATCTTTATAATTGGTCAGTCTGTAAACTCATATGAGTTTATATATTAAGCTCATATATGAGTTTAATATATATTATATACATAATATATATTAAAATATAGTAACATAATGGAAATACAATATCTACTATATAAAATATAATTAAATATATACTATATAACTAAAATGTGTAAGCTAGATAAAATATAATTATATACAATATAATTAAAGTGTAATATAAACTAGCTAGGTGTGGTGCACACACCTATAATCCCAGAACTTGGGAGGCTGAGGCCAGAGGTTAGAGTTCGGAGCCAGCCTGGGCCATCAAGTGAGACCCTGCCTATAGATAAATACTTGTTATCTAGGGTCACATGTGCAACAAGTGAGACATGAAACAATAATATAGAACAAAAGAATACCAAGAAAAGCTAGTGCATAGAGCAAGCAAACATCTGACCACATATCTGCATGTTACTGATCTGTCCTAAACCCAAGACTACCACTCTCACCAAGAAAGCTGGTATTAGGATGCAGTTAACTACAGCCTGTTCTCTTCATGATACAACGTTGGGTCTTCCTCCAAACATAGCCCAATCTAAGCTTAAGGATCAGTTGAATTAATTTACTATATTATTATTATTGCCATCAAACTTGCCAAATTTCATTTAATGTCCAGGGTCTAATTATAGTTGTCTCTGTGAGGGCTGAGGATAATAAGCATGAATGAGGTCCGATCAAGGCTCAGCTCTGCAAAGGGCACCCTCGACAGAGGCATGAAAGACATCTGTCTATGCATGTGACAGAACCAGGCACTGGTTATATGTGCAAGAGCACACCCTTCTCCTCACCTGAAGCAACTCCCAGGGGTCTTATTTATGCAGAAGAGTAAGAAGAGGTGGATAGATAGATAGATGGAAAAAAAATTAGCCATCTGGTCATCTTCTTACTTACCTCTAACGGTCCTAAACTGCCAGGTTTTGTCTAAGAAGTAAACTTAATTGCACAATCCATACCTGTGATAGGAGAACAATACCAAATACGCTAATATTTTGTACATCCCAACTTCTCTGGGTTTGTTTCTATGAAGCTTGAGAGGCACAGATACAAGAAGTAGCCATGTAGCCTGGGCCCAAGAGTCAGACGCTACTCCATGGGCCTGCAATGGACCTTCCCTCCCTACAATGCTGGAATCACACACGATGACCCTGAGAGAAGGTATTACAAGTGAAGATGCCAGCACAGCAGACCCATGGCAGACGGCCTGTGAGCACCCATGGCAGACCGCCTGTGAGCACCCATGGCAGACCGCCTGTGAGCAGGGCGGGGTGTAGACTCACACTCACCATGGGGCTTTAGCCAAATGGAAAAAGAAGATCTACCAGATTTCCCACAGGAAGAACTACTGAAGCTTTAATCGACAGGGAAGTAAATAGGCTAAAAAGAGTAAAAACCCAGCCCCGGCCACCACACGAAAGAGGAAGTACAAAGATGTTCTGAGATGTATGTCTGAAGGCATTCATTTCCACATTGTTCTCGAGGTCTTGCTATTTACACAAACTGCTCTCCGGTCAGTCCTTCTATGCCATTTTCTAACTGAATGTGCCCTGAGGTGAACAGAAGATTTCCCATTTCTCTTATTTTCTGAATTTAGATATTGCTTTAAGAAGACTTTAGCTTTGAAACAAATTCCTTTATTGGTGAAGAAGAAACATGGGCAAGTGCCCTACAAAAGTACAGCCATATATTTTGGTCAGTAAAGTGTTTTCCAATACACTAGTTTGATCATTCCATACACCATGGGTGTGTTTGGTACGGGAAGCAATGGAAAAATAAGAAAGGATGATTTCATTTGCTCTACAGTCAATGCTCTCTACACTTGTGGCGAGTTGCTAGGAAGTGACTCATTCTTTAACTTGCAAAGTCATTCTGCCCTGGAACATTTCAAAACTGACTGCCAACTGCAGCTTTATGCTTTTACTAATAAGAAGTTGGTACCAAATTAGGAGGAGGGATTTTACTCAAGTGTATTAGAATGTTAAGAGTTCAGAAAAGGTTTTTTTTTTTTTTTTCTTATTGAAGTAGAAGCAGGCTGAATAGTCATTTCAATACAGCCAAAATATTTTTCTAAAATTCCCTTCTGGAATGTGCCTTCAAAGCCAGTTTTATGATTCACCTAAGAAAAACAAACCGTAAAGCAGTACAACTGTGCTTACTTTTTAACCAAGGAAATACTATCAAGTCTTTTTGACCCTAATTCCTAAAGTGAATCTAAAAGCCCCCGAGCCACTGAAAAATCCATCATCTAGCTGCTGATCACTTGTTAACTTCTCTAAGAACATGCAATGGACTGAAGTCATTCATTTTAATTTCTTGTGTAAAATCACTTGGAACAATGTCAGAATAAGAATTCTGCTAGTTGATATTTGTAGACAACAGAACTTTACTTAGGGGAAATTTTGACCAGTAGCATTAGTCAATTGTTGGGCCTACCATAAATAGACAGATAATAGTCAGCTTGTGGGTAGTTTTCTGTTTTAAGAAATCTAATGTCTTTTTTCTCTTCCTGGGAGGCAGCGGGGGGAGTATCTGTCATGGGGGTTGGGCATTGTCCCTGAGCTTTCCCTCAAAGCTACTGCTCTATCACTGAGTCACATTATCACTTCCTGTTTCCTGGAGGTTAACTGGAGACAAAGTCCCATGGACTGTCCTGCCCATGATCCTGCATGCATGAGGTCCTGGGTTCGATTCCTCAGCACCACATAAGCAAAAAGAGAAAAGCCGGAAGTGGCACTGTGGCTCAAATGGTAGAGCGCTAGTCTTGAGCTGAAGAGCTGAAGGACAGCGCCAGGCCCAGAGTTCAGGCCCCATGACCGGACCCCCCCCCAAAAAAAAAATCCCCAGACAACAAGAAAACCAGGCCTCAGATCTCAGCCTCCTGAGTATCTAGGATTACAGGTGTGAACCACCAGAGCCTGGATTAAAAAGAAATTAAGATTCAAGGCCCAGACGGAAAGTACAGTCACATGTTGTGATGAAGTTAGGCATTTTTCTCACCAATCTTGTTTGATGAGCTGTGCACCAATGGCTCACTCTTGTAATTTTAGCTAATCAAGAGGCTGAGATCTGAGTTTGAAGTTCAAGGCCAACTTAGGCAGGAAAGTCCATAAGCCTTTTATCTTCAATTAACCAGCAAAAAGTTGGACGTGGAGGTAGGGTAGAGCACACTAGCCTTAAGTAAAAAGGTTAAATAAGTGCATGAGGCCCTGAGTTCAAGCTCCAGCACAGGAAAAGGAAACAAAACTTTTGTTCAACAGATCTGTATGCCTTCTCAGAAGGCGCTTTCTTCCAATTCAATTTCCTAAATTTTTCAGTTACAGAACTTGAGAGGAAGTAAGCAGAGAAAGCTCAACAGCCATCTGGTCCTACATTTAGTTAATACCACTGCTCAAAGCCAGGTGCTCAAGAAAAAGGAGCAGAACAAAGCTCTCCATGCCAGCAGTTTTCGAGGTGCAGGGCTGTGACTCTTACTTCCCCCACAGGAAATCCACTGCAGAATCTGAGAGCACAGAGTTCCTCCCCTGCACACTGATCACCACCAGGGCCCAAAGCCAGGCTCTCAGCCAGAGAACCTAACAGTCAGCCTGTAACAACATGCTTGCTGATTCCCTTGCTCCATGGAAAAATCCCCACAGGAAAAGGTGCCTTCAGACTTGCCCTTGTCTAACCTATGTTAGACCAAATCCGCTCTAACACAGGTTACAACACCACCGATCACTGTATGGTCCTGTACTTGGTGCTTTGGCACACTAATAATACACCTATTTAGCCCTCTGGCATTACTAGATTTAAGCCAAAGCTAACAGCCTTATGTATGCACAATTTCAGGGAAGTGATTATAAAGCCAACAGACACAGGAAGAATGATGAAGCTCAGCATTC